ATTGTATATATATTTTTCTATTGTTATATTTATATATATTTTTCTACATTTTGGATATATTTTTCTATTTTGTAATACAAACGTATTTAAACGTTAAAGAAGGAAAATATGCGAGTGTGATTCGAACCTGTGTAGGAACAGGAAGCGGCAATTACATTGTACTAAGCATTAAATTAAACAAATAAATGTAGGCCTATAACAAGATATAATGGGACTTGACATATGAAAGGCAAAGTTTTAATAAAGGTATTGAAGGCAGGAAGCTGCAAATATTATATCTGCCTGATATTATTGCCAGTTGTACACATCCACATTATCCACCTGGTGAGTGTATTCAGCTCTGCTGACTATACGCAATAAATTTGTAGTGGAATCAAAGTATAAAGTAAACAAGTTTACATTCTTCTGTACAATGTATATTGTATATTCGTAATGTAATGTTGAGAGGTAAGTAATATACAATTTAAAAAGTAGACAATAACATTCTTCAAAACGTGACCTAAAACATAGATCTTATTTAAAAAAAATTTCGGGAGCACCTGCTCCATTCTTCAGGGTTACAATTTCAATCCGCTTCAATGATGTAACCCTCGAATAGAAGCCCAATGGGCTTGAACCCGAGAAAAAACCCATCTTGAAATGAAGCACCCAAAAGAAGCACCCCCCCCCCTTCTTTTTTAGTTTGCAAAAGTAATTTGCAAACGAAAAGAAACCCATCTCGAAAAGAAGCCCAAGGGCTGTTAATCAAGATAGTTCTTCATTCAAACTGACCTTATCTTTGATTATGTGGATGATTATGATAACGTGTATCAATATTTTTTTTTTATTGTACTAGCATGGTTAAATTTGGAATTCCATAGTTAAAAATGTCATATAGTAGCAATTCCAAATACTTACAGCATTCATTAAAAAAAAACCATCTCTTTAGTTTGCAAAAGTAATCTCAAAAAGAAGCCCATTCAAGGGTCCTAAAAAGAAACATAGGGCTAGATCTATTTTAAGTTTTACGTTATACTGTATATTGAAGTATACGTGGATAGGCTATCTTTAGGTCATCACCAACATGTTATATACGTATAAGTATATAGTGTATTGAATATTTTTGCCTTTCAGCTGGGTCTTGCATTGGTCCTGTAATTGAGATAGACGAATGTACAATAATAGCTCCCGGTGAACGCTACCATGGCAAAGTTACCGCCTACATTCCTCCTGGAAGTGACGGTAACCTGTACGTCAACAACCATTATGACATTCTTTCAAATTATGGGTGTCTCAATCTAACATAAATGTTACATAAATGTTTATTGGCGTAAACACATAGTCATTTTATTACAATAACAACAATAATAATAATAATAATAATAATAATAATAATAATAATAATAATAATAATAATAATAGGGCCTAATACTTATAATAATAATAATAATTCATTATTATTATTATTTATCAATTGTTTAAATATTATCATTTTAATGTGTGAGTGCGATCGTTAAAATGTATCTTCATGAATACAGTAACATACCACTTTGTGATTACGTATTTATTGAAGTATTGTTGTAAATGTAGAATTACTGAAATACAAGGAAGCTGGCCCGATGAGATGACGTTTGAGTACATCAAAGATCCGCCCTCAACCAGAGTCATAGCCGTCGTCACATTTTCCGCATGGAATGAGGGAACATACGCCTTCAGTTTCACAGCTACTGATAATAACGGGTAAGTCTTACGCTTCGATTGCCTAAATACAGTGCGCTAAATAGTAAGACTACTTTTAGGATCTAAAAATTTAAATGACCATCAAATTCACACCCGATTCCCTTTAATTGTCACCCCACTCTTTATTGTCATTAAATTTTAGGAGGCACATATGTATGCTGGCACATACTTTGAAAAAGATCCAAGCATGGAAAGTGACTAAAGTGACTAATGTGAATTTATTTTATATCCAATTTGAAACTGCTAATATGTAGAAAGGTTTTTTAAGCATCTCTGTCGCCTATGCATAGCGAGTTACAGCTATGAATAATAAATAATATAATGTATTATAATAAACCGTAAATTATTAATATTACACTGTAATTTTATATTGACAATACTACGTTAATTATTTATAGCGCGCAGAACGATCCAAAAACAGGAAGATTTGTTGTCACTGTAAAAGAGAAAGTTGTGACTGGAGAAATTATGCCACCACAAGTGCTGTCGAAGTTTTCTTACCCTAACTTAACCGAACCATTGGATTTAGAACGAGGAGAATGGTACCTTACATGCGACCAACCGGTATGTCAAAGCCGAACCAACCCGATGTACAATTACAAAAAATCTAATCCATGCCTTTGATACAACTGTTCAATGTTTAGCAGAATAAATATATACTCCTTATTTGGCCATACATAATAAAATAGCCATACTTATAAAAGACTGAAAACTAAATTGACGAGTGATTATATATACATATGTGTATAAATATGTATACATATGTATGTGTGTATATATATATAACACACACACACACACACACACACGATACGCAACACTTGGTGAATCTCGTTTCTCATTCATCCAATGAATATCCTAGATGTACCCGTCATGGTCCTGGCAGAGATCGTTCGTCTCGCGGGCACCGACGCGATGGAAACGCTCGAACTCGCCAACGTGTGCTCGGAATTCGAACTGTCTCTTATACACATCTAGATGTGTATAAGAGACAGATGTATATCATTGTACATAGCTTAAAGTTAACTGTGTGGCAGAGTTTCATGGGCGTATGTCCAGCGTTGTATTTCAAATATGTTACAAGTAGCTATTATTAATTGAAGAAACGATTTCGAATGTTGTCTGACCACATTATATTTGTTTTCTTTCAGGTACAGTACCGATTGCGAGAAGTGCACTCCGTTGAGCGTAAATCCGCAGGCAAACTGCTGGCAATGAACGCAGGAAAAAATCAGCGCGCGGTGCCTGCGGGTTAGATTTTCTTTGAACAGGTTCTGTGGCACGGAATATCGTGTCTAGAACGCCAAAGAACCATTATTTGTACTAATACAATTCGTTCTTCGTGGGGTAGTTTTAGCTGCAAAATAAATAGGCCTAATATTTTGACATAAGGTCAGCTTAACCGGAGACTATAGCCTATGCCTAGTACCAGTAGAATTATAGAAAATGACGGGATTGAGAATATTTTTTTTTTATCAGACTTTTTAAAATACTTCTCATCTCAATAGTTTAGGCCTCTTACATGATTTTACCTTTGGAACTCTGTTATTCAGATATTAGGAATCATCATTGCATGTTTGTATCTTGGTAGTCGTACGAAAATTTGTTGCTAAAACCTTTATTACGAAGGTCATTTCAGTTATTTTAAATTCATTTTGGATCATTTTACGTCATGTATGTTATGTAGACTAGAGTATTTGGAGTTAAAATTGAAATGTTAGTTAATTGGATAACATGCTCCGGTTTTATCCTAAACCAAAAGAACCAGTTGTTAATTGTGGTGAACACGAGATCACTTTCTACCTTCCAAGATATAAATTTGATGATATAGAACCTTTATTGTATACATTTATTAACAAATTTTGCACCACAATGTCATTAGAATGTTATATTTAAATAGATATTCAACATGCCATGTGCGTGTTTTGTAGTGCACTATAGTCTACGCATTTCAAGCCCTTGTTATAAATTAATTGAAGACTTTTTTGACAATTTTTAATTTTAGAAAAATTTGCTCACCTTTACCCTAACCATGCAGAGCATGGGTATGGTATCTACTCACCCACTAACCTTAAATCATTTAGAAGGAGGGATAGTGGCTCTATAGGTTGTCAGATGCTATTTCCAATCCAGGTGAGGGTTGTTATTTTTTGATATTTTTTTGCCATGGCGCCACAATATTAAAGGATTAGGGCTTTCTGTTCGTTCAGATGGGAGGCTATTAGACCTGTTGGTTTAGTACTCAGCAAACAGGATCATGGACTTCTCGTCTAAAAAATTCGTAGCGAACACTACTTTTACAGTCTCAGGGTGTTTGGATCTTCATCGAGAAATCTCTGGCGCCGTCACATCATTACTTTCCGATCAGAGTGAAGGTGTAAGAGGGACTGGTGGTGAGGTTTCGTCCCCAGTGGCTAGACCAATTCGAGGGTGGGCGCTAATAAGGGGTGGGCCCTGAACTAATAATTTGTAGTTAGCCTAGTATGACACTGCTGTCTTTGGCAGCAATTTTCTCTCAGATAACTGGCTGGTTGGTTGTGCACCTGTCTGATAACATCCAAATTACGGTAAAACCCGGCATGTATGTGAACTACTGTAAACACGTCGTCTCTAAAAACATCTCCTCAACTAGGCCTATTGAAGTAGGCCTACGGAATGGTGTTTCTTCTAAGTGTGGAAAATGTACATAGGTAAGTAAAGCGTGTAGTGTGCTGTACTGTAGGCATGTGTTAGATTTAATTGCGGCATCCATTGTTATATTGTTGTTCAGGCCTACATTTTCAGACTGTAGACTTTGCTCAAATATCGGTTTATAGAGAGTTAATTTCGTTCATTTTGTGGACTATTTGTAAACATAAAATCTTAAAATATGGCACTAAACCGGAATATCTGAGTGAAAATGTTAATAACAGTAACAACATAATAGGGAGCATTTTGCAAGTGGTCCGGCCATTATAAGAATAAGAGATGTAAGAGAGTGGGAGAGGCTTGCCTAACAAATTTGGCTGCTATAGAAACGGCAGATCTGCTATCAATATACACGGATACACATAGAATTAGTGGGGGTCTGTGCATATGCATTGTAGGAGCATGTAAGCAGCGTGACCACTGGGAAAAATGGTACCGTAATTCCCAAGATTGAGTCTAAAAAATCCCAAGATTGCTTAAAAAATCAAAAGATTTGCAAAATATTAGTATAGTAGGCCTATATCTTCTTCTTCCAAATTTAAGGCCAACGTCATAGCTGAAGGCTTCGGCGGTCCGAACTTCTACCGCAGATGGAATATCACGGAAGCGAGAAAACAATCAATAAATAAATAAAACTAAAATATAAATAAAGTAAAAAGTGCCTGTAACCCAAGGCGGGGCCCTTCATTTAATCAAATTTAAATGCTCTTTCAATGAATTTTATTATACTGTACTGTATAACAATGTCTAGATTTTTGAGACCAATAATTCGTTCATATTCAACTGTATAATTTTCTGAATTTGAGGGAGGGGGTGTCTTACATGAATTAAAATCATATTGGCTTACCTAAAATTTACATAAAAATGCATTTTTTTCTAACTAACTATTCTTGCCTAACTTCAGCCCGTCGTACTGAAGCAAACAGCGTATTATTCCCCAATGGGACACATATCAAGAGATTTAACTTAAAATGCATTTTATTATTTTTGGAAAATGACTTATTATCTATTATAGTGATTAAAAACAATCTGTCGGTCGTAAAAAGCGCTTTAATTGAAATAGGCCTATAACAATCGCATAAGTATACAATTTCATGGAAATAGAATGCAGTATAAAGTGATCTTAATGCCGTTAATGTTCCCAAAATCTTTGTATACTTATTCAATTGTATATATTTCGCGCATTGTATTCGTTGTTCAATATATTATTAGCATTTTAGTTGTATTTTCTAAGTATTCTATACCATATATATATATATATATATATATATGTTCTTTCAGATAACTGGCTGGTTGGTTGCGGCACCTGTCTGATAACATTCAAATTACGGTAAAAGCAAGCTTGTATGTGAACTACTGTATATCGTAGACACGTCGTCTCTAAAAACGTCTCCTAAAATGGGCCTATTGAAGTACGGAATGGTGTTTCTCCTAAGTTTGGAAAATGTACATAGGTAAGTAAAGCGTGTAGTGTGCTGTATTGTAGGAATCCCAAGATTGCTTAAAAAATCCAAAGATTTGCAAAATATTAGTATAGTATATCTTCTTCTTCCAAATTTAAGGCCAACGTCATAGCTAAAGGCTTCGGCGGTCCGAACTTCTACCGCAGATGGAATATCACGGAAGCGAGAAAACAATCAATAAATAAATAAAACTAAAATATAAATAAAGTAAAAAGTGCCTGTAACCCAAGGCGGGGCCCTTCATTTAATCAAATTTAAATGCTCTTTCAATGAATTTTATTATACTGTACTGTAATTTGTACTGTATAACGAAACAATGTCTAGATTGTCAAGACCAATAACTCGTTCATTTTAACTGTGTACAATTTTCTTAATTTGAGGGAGGGGGATGTCTTATATGAATTAAAATCATATAGGCCTACATAAAAAGTTACATAAAAAAGCCATTGTCTTTATTTTATGTGTATTACACAAAAATATTCCAGTAGACTTTGTTGCTGCTGATACAACAGAATAGTGTTTCACCTGTCTCTTATACACATCTATCTCTTTTATTTTATTTTCAGTGTCTCAGGTCAAATCTACCGAACCATCAAGAAGTGCGAGATCGATGTACAATCATTGTCACCGGAATACGCTGCATATCAAATTGCCAGTACACACTATCATTAGCCGGATTTATTTGGTCTTCTGCAAATAATCGCACGCGGATATTTATTCGGGTTTATACCACTGAATCATCGAAATTAAATTAAATTATGTTTCTTGTAAAACGAACAAGTAATTCCCGAACAATATTACATACTTAAATATAGTTAGGCCTAAGCATTATATTATATTATATAAAAATACAATCTTTGTGTTTTATTTATAGGCCTATTACGTTTATATAGTTCTGATGCAACCTTTCCGATATGTGAGAAATAAAAGTTTACTGATGTGTAATTTAAAATATATCATTGTGCTTCTTTGTCGTAATTGCATTAATAATATATCATTAAAAAATATACATTTCATTATATCAATCAGTATATAATCGAATAATAATCAGTTCGAATCGAATGTACCAGTATTATAGGCTACTTCTATATCATATAAACACGAATATTTCCAAATATTCACATAATGCAAACAAATTACGAAAATGTTCAGAGCAAGCTAGGTGCCGTCGAATTTTACAAAACAGGAAATGACGTCGGTTGCTAGGGTACAGCTCATGCATATTCAGTAACACCTGTGCTCATTAGACTAACAATAAAAACTTTTAGCTCAGTTTTGACAAAATCGACCAAAAAGATTTTATTGTTAGTCTAATTAGAACAGGTGCTACTGAATATTCATGATTATGCATGAACTTGTTGCTTAGCAACCACGTCATTTCCGGTTTTGTGTCTTTTTCGAGGGCGTCCTCGAAAAGATTTCATCTGGATTTCATTGCTAGTTTAATATATATAAAGTAGCTAATATTGATAAAGCAATTCTTCTTCACTTTTAGTTAAAGCCTATAAGGATATTTTAGCTATTGAATTTATTAAAATAAACACAGACATTGAATAAGATGAGAAGAAATGCATAATTCCATTTAATATTTATTTCCAAGCATTGAAATCAAGTTGGGATATAATATGTATAACATTTAGCAAAAATCAATAGAATTTTAATCCACAAAATTGTATATCTTATTATCTTACATGTATCTTATTCTTATTCTTATTCTTTATTGCAGCCAAGACAGCTAAATGTGAGGGCCAGGTCTCTACGTAAACTTAATTACTATAATAAATGTCAGAGAACTACTTCCATCCAGTAATTATAAATATATATCATTAAAATTAATATAAAACGCATAAATATACATCACGCAAAAAGTACATAAAATAATAATCAGTAAAATTAAAGAGGAGCAACAAGGGAAACATATTTATTATTATAATTTTTATCAGTAATATCACCATCACCATTATTACTTTATTATTATCACCATTATTAATATTATTATCATTGATATCATTGTATCTATAGTCGTTGCAACAATATTACGGTTTATTATCTCTATTATTAAAATAAACATTAGTAGTAGTAATAATAAAATTATTATACACATAAAGCCTACAAGAATTAATACACATTGCTAACATTATTTTTGAAATTTTTGCAAATGAAAATATTTAAAAAATAAAATAAAATTCGCACTATATTTTATTTATTTTCATATTCACAATTTTTGCAGGAAGCTTGATTATTGACAACGTTTTTGGATATGTAAGTAGTTGGTTAAGTTCATACAGTTGCCCTTTCACGATCGAGTCCGGACATTCTTTCCGTTTGTGGATTTTTTTGTCTACCTCACTGGAATAGAAAAATATTTAGAAAATATTTAGAAACAGAGAAAGAATTATAACGAAGTATCAAAAACATAATATATAAATAAAAATTAGTGAGCATAATCGTATTCAGCAATGTATGGACAATGCTGCTGATACAACAGAATAGTGTTTCACACTTTTTCGTATCAGCATTATCATACATTATAGTATCATCATACCACGGAATGAATGTTATTGGGTAGGCCTAACAGATTACAATAGTGTGAACAAATTATGTTAGCATTCGATTGTCATGTGTAATTAAATGTATAAAAGTTTACAATTCGATGAAATGAATACAGTATAATATAGATTCATAAATACAGTATTCAAATATTTGATATAAGTATAAACACTATAACTATATCTTCATACAAACATTTTTCATGATATATATTTATTGACTGATTGATTGAATTTATTCAATGCTCAACATGCACAAGCAAGATAAAATATTGTGAACAAGAAAAGTAAAAATTAATGAGCACCAGGGACGCCCATTAGGACAGAGTCCAGCGCATTTTCAATGGGGTCAACTTTTTTTCCTGTCAATTAGGCCTACATAGACATTTAAATAGGCTGGTAGTAGAAGTGTCAACTTAAGGATATTTGTAGTAAAATGTCCGTAAATAAGGACAATTTTTTTTAAATGCCGACAGAGGATCCAACAACTCTGACTGGGGTCTGAAGCAAGGGGCTACCTAGAGCCTCGGTCAGGATCCCAGAATAAAATCCCTGGGGTGGGGCTCATGGGGAGAAATTTTACGGCTTAGGATCGTCTATACTTTTTGACCACAATTGGATTGGCCATCAAAATGAATTCGTTTCGATCGACATTTTTTCGTCGTCCAGTTGGACGATGTGGGTCGATGTTAGTTTATAACTTACGGTAACCCGGGTTCTACATGAGCAAGGCTAGTTGCTTTTGAATTAAAAAAAAATTAATGTTTAGCTATTTACAGCATAAAATATGCTACCGGGGCCCAGCATACCACACTATGCGGAGTATCGATACATACATGGCCACATAGAGAGTGACACTCACCCATGTACTGCTCATAATATATATATTTTTTAAACTGTATCTGGTTTCCTTAATTTTCTTCGTTCATATTTCGACTTTCTTTTGAAGGGGTACAATGAAAGTTTTCTCTTAAACGGATACAGGCACTTCATAAATTTCGAATAATATATTATTATTACTAATATAAAATAGTCAACTGCTCTCTATTTTCGAATAATACAATTTTTGACAGCTGTAGCCAATGGCGAATTCACGGGGATGGGGTTGTGCAATCGGCCCCTATATTATTCAAAATTATTTTTTTTTAATGGAGAAAAAAAAAGAAAATTGTATTCAAAGTCATTTATGGCCATCTAGAGCATGGAGCCGTTTGTGCAAGTCCCTTCCTGGGTTCCCTCTATTTCGAATTCTGGGATCCACCACTGGCAGCCATATCTATGGAGGTACATTATCCAGGACGATATATTAATATCAATTGATAAGACGGCGCGTTATTTGGGCCTACCTCGATCACTTTAGTTGTCCTTTAAAAATAATATAAAAAATATTTTTGTCAAGTATAACAAATTTCGATTATTCATGATTAAAATTTGTGCACCAGATAACGACAAGATTCTTGATAATAAATTTCATATACTGTCAATTAGAAAAACAGATACTAATCTACAATGTAAACAGAAGTTAACAAGCCCCAAATCAGTTTTTAGGTCTTTGATGGTTTTAGCGAGTCACTTGGAACGTACGTTGTTGTTATTGTTGAATAGAATGCGGCCATGTCCATGCATGCCTCTGTCGAGAACATTTTCAATGCCTTCAATACCTAACAATAATAACCATGCAATATGATGACAGAATTCCCATTTAATTATTGAATTAACGATGTAAAATGTTCAATACCGTACTCACATTTGTTATTAACTGTAGGCCTAAAGTCTCCTTCCTTCGTCTTTCAACTCCATATACAGTATTGTTTATTTAAAACTCCACCTGGTGATGTATCAAAACAATTCATTTTCTAAAGCGCCATTCTTTTACGATGATGATGTCGATGGTTATGATGATATTGATGATTGTTGATGATATAATTATGATGAAGATAATGAGAGCAATAGTGCAATGAATTATGATGATGATGATGATGATGATGATGATGGTGATCATTATTCATGATAATATTGATGATTGTTGATGATTATGATTATGATGATGATGATGATAATGATGATGGTAATGATGATGATGACAGTAAATAATGCAATAAAAGGCTCAAACTTTGTGCATAAGCATAGAATTAAAAGCAAATACCATTTAGAATATACAAAAATAAATAATTAAAAAAAAATTATAAATTAATACAAATAACAAGTAACTAATATATGACATTTTTGCAAATAAAATATTGTCATATTTGAAATATTAGATAATTCCTAATGTCTAGGATGTAACTTGTAAAGCCCTATCTAGACAATCAAATTTGCATCATGACAAAAACATATAGTCTAGTAGGAACGGGGGGTTCCCATGCACCCCAGAATATATTTTTTTAACTAGCATTTTTGTAATCCTCAAAGTATCTGGTGAACAAATTTTGATGTTCCCATTAAAAAAAAGTGTCCCATGGGGTCGTTTGGCGCCATTTTGGCGGCCATCTTGGATACGGAATGAAAATCAATTATTTGCATAATTTATTAACTGAAAATAATATAAAATCAAATTAACCTCTAAATGTATATAGTAAGCAGTTTTTAAGTTCTTAATACAAAACATTGACCTCGCAGTTACATTTTACGGTCATATTGGCGGCCATCTTGTATTTTGAATGAAAATCAATTATTTGCATAATTTATTAACTAAAAATCATATACAATCAAATGAATCTCTAAATGTATATAGTAAGCAGTTTTTATGTTCTCAATACAAAAAATTGACTTCTCAATACATTTGGCGCCCATATTGGCAGCCATATTTTGTATGATTTATTATTATTTGTTATTTATTATTATTTGCATAATTTATTAACTAATATATAGGCCTATGGTATAAACAGTGTTTATTTTCTCAATACAAAACATTGACTTCTTAATACATTGCCCAGCCATTTTGGCAGCTATATTAGCGGCCACATTAGCAGCCATATTGTCTTTCAAATGAACATTGATTACCGTATAACATTTCACCTATATTATACAAACAAAGAATTTAATAACCATTTTTTCAGAGTAATGTTGTCATTGGGAATTGATTGAGATCCATGACCTATAATTTAAGTAGGTTTTATACACTGAAACTACAAACATATGAGAAGTCACTTTATTTACACTCAAAATGCAATACAAAACGCTCTGATCCTGGTGAAAAAGAGATTTTTAATGGTATAGGCCTAATGTATGGTATAAAAAAATATACAAAAAAAATATATGGTATAAAAATATATATATTTTTAAAATAATGTCAGTCCAACCACGGTACAAACTAAAAACTAATGGTCAAACTCAATGACCATGATTTTCTGGCCAATGTGATTTAAGCACCCTGTTCACAAATGCTATCAACATCAATGAGCA